TACGTCTCACTGGCAATTCCAAACAGCCAAATTTTGTGGTCTCACCACTGGACCAAGCTTGTATACTCCTCCAAGGCCAATTCTTACCCGCAATTGAGTCCCGGGAGCCGCAACTTACAACTCAGCTCATCCAGCGTCTGAGTCTGAGTGCTTACCACTCCGTACATTCCTTTCATGCCAGGCAGCCTTACCAAGGCCAGTACAGCTGCCAACATTTTCTGCATTTGTCGATAAGCCAAGTACCGCCAACTCCAAAAAGCAGAAATCCTGTTTATCATTAATCCAATTATGTACGTGTCTTCTACACCCTCATTCATTCATTCATTCATTCATTCATTCATTCATTCATTCATTCAACCTTTACTTATACAGGCTAGCCTCATTGAGCCACGGGGACTTATTTACAAGAGAGACCTGCTCCAGACAGAACATATAAAGTACAGACAACAAAACAGTAGACAATGACAACAATAAACTACAGTAAAAATGCAGTTAAATTAAGAATAGTGTACAAAACAATAAATAAGGGGGCCGTAAAACAGGGTGAAATATCCTCATGCATGCTCAATAATCCAGGTAGAAAAATCTAAAAAAGTTAAGTCTGGTCCTCTGGACATTCAAAAAACAAAACAAAGCAAAACAACAACAAAAAATGTAGAAACGTTTTGTCTCTCATCCGAAAGACTTCCTCAGTCTGAGGTGCTGTATTCAGCTCAGTCTTATAAATAGCACCATCTCAGTGTGGATCAACCAGTTTGCTGCTGACAACCAAAACCAGCTCACATGGTCAAGAAGGACCATCAGCCTAACAATGGATCATTAGCACACTGATGGCTGTTTACTACAGACACCCTGCTCTCCATGAATTATTCTTCAAATGCTGTCCATCAACATGGCAAAAAGGGTCGCAGACAAGGGACACCCTGGTATAGAGTCCAACCTGCACCGGGAACAAGTTCAAATTTGTGCCAGTGATTTGGACACAGTTCTGGCTGTAGTTACAGAGGTGCAAGATAGACAGGGCACCCCTGCACAGAATTAAAAAAAACATAATAATAAGCTTTCTCCAGAGACACAAAACACAGTAGACTGGGGAGTAAACCTCCCATAGGCTCCTACAAGGTTGGAAGTTTGGTCCTCAGTTCAATGACTGGTACAAAAGCTACACTGCTCCTCCCGAATCCAAGCTTCGATAACCAGTTAGAACAGGGGTGGCTGGGCAAACATTTTGACTCGCGGGTCACAATGGGTTCTAAAATTTGACTGAGGGTCCAGGCCAGGAACAGATGGATGGAGTGCTTGTGTGAACTAATATAAATTACATGTAAAAGCCATTACATGAGGGGATTTGTCCTTTAACGTAGCAAAGAATGAATATGCAAGGGTCACTGTTCAAATTGTTTTCCAAATGCAAAAGCTAATTAAATTTAATCTGAATAAACACAGGGGACAAATGCACGTTCAGTTTCAGTGGGAACAGTGATGTTGATCTTTTGTTGCCAGTGCATCAAAGTTTGGAGTAACTTTTGTTGTGGCAATTCTCCAGATAGATTAAGGTGTTGGTCAGTTAACATAGATCTGTGACGGACTTTATTGCTGTTCATCGTGACACTGAATGTCTGCTCACATACATAAGTCAAGACAAACAAAGTCAGCATTTTGGCTTCGTTAAGGGAAGCATAGAAATCATTTAGTTTAGGAGTTTAACTTCTTTAAGACGGAGTCTAATTGAACATTGATCAGTTCCAATTGCAGCTCTTGTGCTGTTTCAGGGTCTTGTGACAAGTCACCATCTGAAGTGACTTTTTAATGTTTTTAAAATCAGAGAACTGACGGATGAATTCTCTGAGCAGCTCTTCAAGTGATTTGCTGTATTTCATGTTTCGTGTCGCCTCCTTCTGCACGGCAAGTGTGGCTTCCGGTAACTGTTTGCTTGGATCCGATAACTCTCAGGCTTACTACTAATAAAGTTATGAACAAATATGACTGCCTTGAACAAATAAAAGTTATACTGGATATGTAAACTGAAAATAATTACATAAACACTCATTTTAAGCACAACAGCCACGATCTGCCTCTTCAAGTGAAACATTTCTGCATTTTCCCTTAAAGAAATCTCTGCCCCTCAAATAGTGAAGTGCTGAGCAGACAGCCGTACGTGGCAGGAGCCCACATGTGGAGTCGGACAACAACGAGCAGGGACAGAGTTGGGCTCGGAACCAAGTCCGATTTACTTGACTGTTCCGTCAAGTAATGGGGGGGGGGGGGGGGGGCTTGACAGAAGCAAAGTGTTTACAAATGTAGGTAAACGTAGATGTTTAACATCCCGTTAAAATACACCAAAATTCAGGAAATTGCATCTACTTTATTTAAATTTTTCAGGGGGAGGACCCCTAGACCATGTTGACTAGAAACTCCAGCCCAGTTATTCTGGTATGTTCCCCTCTTAGTGATCAAGATCAAATCTTTCTTTGTTGAAATCAGGTCTCTCTTGTAAATGAGTCCTCGAGGCTCAATGGGATTTACCTGTATAAGTAAAGGTTGATTGAAGATCAGGCTCATGATGACGTTTGTGCCAAACCTCATATAGAGCTCGTCAGTGTATATGGACGAGGTCATGAAATCATTCAGTTAATAAGATGTTCTAAAAAGTTGAGCCTTAAAGAATTTAATCAGAATAGTGTTACAGTGTCCAGATGACATGATTCAACCTTTTTTGTTGTTATATACCTGGATGACTGAGAAAACAAACTTAGTGTTACAGTGTGTTCAAATCAAACTTGACATGTGTTAAACAGCTTAACAAACACATTTTATAAAGTGAACAAATGTTCATGTTTTTACAGGGTCTTACATTTATTATCATAAACGTGAGGATTTTTGCACTTGTGTTCTCGTGCGAAGAAATTGTTATAGCTTTGTATTTGGCTGTAATGTGTTTGGCTGAGTGCACATAGTTTAGGCTACACATGTGCACAAACAGCTTGCAAGTGCATGCTTCTATTAGACTTTCTTCATACCCTCTTGTTCTAGGAGTCATAAATACACGCTGTGTTTAAGGATGGCACAAAGCTGGTTCATCTGTATGATAGTTGGATCCACGTGTCGTTTCCTCCGTGTGGCTTTCTAGATGAAAATAATGTCTTGTTTGTGCTTTTGTTTTGTTTTAGTTAAATAAGTCATATCTTACATATTACAACATTTGAGCCTATTGTTTGAGCTCTAATGTTAAAAATCTTGGTGTTATTTCTGATCAGGACATGTCTTTTATCCCCCACATTAAAAACGTTACTAGAACCTCCTTCTTCCACCTGCGTAATATCACTAACATTAGAAACATCTGATCTAAAGATGATGTAGAAAAACTGGTCCATGCATTTGTCACATCTAGACTGGACTATTGCAATGGTTTATTATCTGGGTGTCCAAATACTTCTTTAAAACATCTTCAGTTGATCCAAAATGCTGCTGCCAGAGTCTTAACTGGAGTTACTGGGAGAGATCATATCTCTCCAGTTTTAGCTTCTCTCCATTGGCTCCCTGTCAAATCCTGAATAGAATTCAAAATCTTACTTCTAACCTACAAAGCTCTCAACAACCTAGCTCCATCTTATATTACAGATCTTATTGTTCCATATTTTCCTAACAGAGCACTTCGCTCTCAGACTGCAGGTTTACTTGTGGTTCCTAGAATTTACAAAAACAGAATGGGAGGAAGATCCTTCAGTTATCAGGCTCCTCTCTTGTGGAACCAACTTCCAATCTCTGTCCGTGAGTCTGACACATTATCCAGTTTTAAAACCAGGCTTAAGACTTTCCTTTTTAATAAATCCTATAGTTAGGGTCGGCTTGGGTTTCCTGAGCTGTCCCTTAGTTATGCTGCTATAGACTTAGACTGCTGGATGACAAACTGACCACAATTTTCACTCTGCTACTGTCTTTACTTACTCTGCTCAACATTTTTTGTATTTATAATTATTTTTTCTATCCTTAACATGTGTTTTTTTGTCTTTCAGGTACACCTGGACCTATACCTGGACCTACATACATCTGGACCTAACATTCTGTGTTGGTCTGTCTCTCCTTCCTGTCCTCTCAACCAGCCGGTCAAAGCAGATGGTCTCTTGTCCTGATCCTGGTTCTGCTGGAGGTTTCTTCCTGTTAAAAGGGAGTTTTTCTTTCCACTGTCTCCACTGTGCTTGCTCAGGATGGGAGACTGCAACGAAGCCAAGATTCAACTTGTCTGCTGGATTCCTTAGATAGAGAACTTTACTAATTGGCTTTTATGTGAATGTTCCTGTAAAGTGCCCTGAGACAACTTTGTTGTGATTTGGCGCTATAGAAATAAACTGAATTGAATATAACAAAGACGTGTTGAATCCTTTAGAGGACTTTTGATGATGTTGTACTCACTGAAGTTAGTATTCATAAAAATGAATTATTTTCATTCTGACTGCCATGTGCATGCTTGAATGGTAACAAAATTTTAGATCCTTATGTACTGTTTCTTTTTTATAGTTTATACTTTTGCTATTTTTGGTTGTTCTGACTCTGACTCTGAGACCATGAGTACACAATTTTGTTCCACCTTATGTACTACATGTGATGTGATCCTATTTGAATGTTGATGTATGAAATGTATGTCAACTCTTGCTACATATTTTTTCAGCCTGTGAGATTATATTTTAAATGAGATGGATGGATGGATGGATGGATGGATGGATGGATGGATGGATGGATGGATGGGTGGGTGGGTGGGTGGATGGATGGATGGATGGATGGATGGATGGATGGATGGATGGATAGATAGATAGATAGATAGATAGATAGATAGATAGATAGATAGAT